GGTCAGTGTCTGTGGTCGGAGCTCCGCGGCCGTGCCCTCCCTCACCGTGCCCCGCGTGTCGTTGCAGCTCCGGCCTTGCCCAGCACAGTCCGGCAGCGCCTGGTGGAGCCGCAGCACGGCCACGGATCGCAGAGGTTGGTAGAGAGTCTCGTGCCGGGGCAGCCCGAGGCGGGCCCCGCGGCCCCGCTGCGGGCGGGCCGAGTGTCCCTGCGCCGAATGCACAGCCTCACCTCCGGACAGTCCTTCAGCTCCGACCTGCCCGGCTCCAGCCCATCGCCTGCCTCCACCTCCACCTCCTGCTCTTCATCCACCACCACCGCACCTGCTCCTGCTTGCCATGTCCACCCTATCTATTACCATCACACCACCTCTTATTTCCTCCAGATGGATTCCATCCCCGACCTGCCCCCTCCTGATGTCACCTCTGGAGTTCGCTGTCGCACTGGGAGCTTTGGGTATATTGCTGTTTCTTTTCTAGCTGCCTCCTGCCTGCCGTGCCTCAGAGCTGACGCTTGCTGGGGTGCTCTTTCTCCCACGTTCCTTCTGCCCTTTCCTTTTGGGCCTTCGTTCTGTGATTTTTCGCTTTCGTTCCTTCCGCTGCTCTCCCGAGCCGCTGGAGCCTCTAAGGAGGATTCCGTGGGCCATCCCCACGCCCACGAGCTCGGTTTTGGGCATTCCCAAGGTGCTCGGGTGGTGTTCTACTGCAGCTGAGCAAATGAGAGCTCCCAGGTGCTCGGTATTCCCTAAACAGGGGGATATGAGGAGGCAACAGAACTGATCACCAAACCTGGTCTGATTTGAAGCCTGCATCTCCTGGGGTCCTCACGAGTGAATTGCAAAGGGAACATGATGGGTGGGGGACCACGAGGTAGCAGTTGGAGAAAATTGGGATTGTTTTCGGAGGCGCTAGAGTGGCAGTTCAGGAATGTGTTCTGGAGTGACTCTGCCTCTGGTCTGTAGGGATGAGGAATGGGGGTGTTTTGGCTGAGGAATGTCCGAGGAGGGAGTTGGAGCTGCTTTGGTTGGCTTTAGCTTGGTCCCTTTCAGCTGGCTCTTTGGAGAGCTGGCACACCCTGGGGACTGGTTATCCTCCATCTCTCAATCCCAGAGCTGTCCCAGCTCACAGGGCTGGTGACAGGGAGGAGCAGGAATCCTGCCTGGTGCTCCAGGGGGGCCCTGACATCCTGACAGGAATGCCGTGTGTCCCAAGCACAGGATCAGGCTCCTGGGGTGGCTTTCACCCGAGTGACATCCCTGTCCTCATGCCCCGGGGTCAGGGGTGCAGCCAGTCCCAGGGTGCTGAGTCCCTGTGGGATCTCCCTGGGGCAGTGGGATGTGTGCTCGTGGCCTCAGGTGTCCCAGGCACTCCGTGCAGGCAGTGGGAAGGCTGTGATGGACCAGGGAATCCTGTCCCTGCCAGGTCATTCCATCTATGTTCCATGCTTTCTCCATGGCAAAATTAAACAGTCTGCTGCTCCTCAGGACTGGGGAGCAGACTGCTGGGGGAAGGCTGGGAGTCTCTAGGTGAGGCAGAGGAGGGGGGAAATGCCCTTCCACCACCATTTCTCCGGGCAGGGAAACATTCCCAGTCACCACATCCTCACCCATTGCAGCCCGGTGTCCCGTTATCCCCTCACCTGTGGGTACCCCCGCCCTCAGGTGCTGGGATCTCTCCTGGCCTTGTTCAGGCTCTGGTTTGGATGTTGCTCCCCCTCCCCGCCCCGTGTGCCTCCAAGCTGGGCAGCCCCAGGCACATTCCGGAGTCTGGAATACCGAGGGGGCAATTCCTGCACCTGCTCCACAATGGAGAATGAAAGAGCAGCATCTCAGTTAATTCGGTAATGGCTGGTTGGGGATGATGAGAAGCAGTGTAATTAATTAACTCCTACCAGCGGGAGCTCAACTGCAGCTGTTCCAGTTTGACTGGTAAAAGCTGGGAATGCTGCTGGTCCCTGCTTCCATTGCCTCCCTGGCTCTGCAGGAGGGAGCCTGGGGCTCATGTCCTGTGTCCAAAACAGCTGCTTAAATGTGATTTATTCCCACTGAGGCCCGGGACACGTAGAATTCCTGCCTGGGATAAAGCCCGATCCCTGCAGACCCCCTGAGAGTGGCAGAGGGAGACGGGATCCAGTGTGGGGACCCCAGCGAGGGAAGGGGACAGTGGCAGAGGTCCTTGGGGGGGATGAGTGTGGCCTGCCCTGGTCAGAGCCCCGCTGGCCACCCCTGGGTGCCAGCAGGACAGTCCTGTCCCTGCTCCCGTGGCAAAGCCCGGCCGGTGCCGCAGGAGAAGCCACGGAGCGAGAACGTCCCCGCTGGGCTTTGCTGTGGCTGCCCCGCAGCAGGCAGCTCGCCCTGCCCAGCCCAGCAGCAGGAACGAGGAGTTGGGCACCCGGAGACGTGGGTTTGCGGCGTGCTGATGCTCGTTTTCACCCGGCCGCGTCGCCGGCACGCCCTGCTCCGACGCGTCCCTAAAAGCGCCGCTGCCGGGCCGGCGATTGCTGCTCCTCCTTGGCAGCCCCGCTCCCCGAGGCCTTTGCTGACAGCCCTCGGCCTCCGGGGAGGCAGGCAGGACGGTGGGGAGCCTCAGCAGGCCCTTCGGGGAGTCGGTGCGCGGAGCAGAGCCCCAGAGAGCCCTGGCTCCCTTGGGGGAGGACGGTGCCCTGGTGGCTGCTGGAGCCTGCCCCGCGCCCAGCAGAGCCCAGGCCGGGCAGAGCTCGCGGGAGCAGCTTCTCCAGGAGCTGCCCCGAGCCTGCAGGCTGCGGCCGCTGTCTCCGGAGTCCTGCCCGCCTTCCCGGGCAGGGAGCCGCTCCCTCACCTCCTCACTCTCTGCTTCTCTTTTGCAATTGGCTTCAGAGGATCCGGCGCCAGTAAGGTCAGAGCGGGTCCGGGCTCGGGGGGTCCCCGGGGGGAGAGGGGCTGGAGGGGCTGCGTGTGCACAGAGGTTTCTGCTGCCAGTGCCTGCCTCAGCTGGGTGAAACCACGGAGATGGGAGTGTAGCACCAAGTGCCCGTGCCCAGGCCCTTCTCCAGCCAGGAAGGGAGGCGGCAGCCAAAGCTCAGGGAAGGGAGAGAGTCAGGAATCCAGGGAAATGAGTAATTCACAGCTCTTGCAGGCTGGAAGGGAGGAAGCTGCTGTCGGGTCTTCGTTGAGGCTCAGCCCCACAGCAAATTTGGGAGTTTGCCTTAAGAAAAGCCTTGGTCCCTGATGCCACGGGCACGGAGCCCGGCAGCCGAGGGTGCTCCTGAGGCACACACAGAGGGCTGAGGCAGCCGGGGCTCTGTGGCTGCTGGAGCACTCCCGGGGCAGCTCCTGGGCCATGCCGGGCTGGACCCAGTGGGGACACCCAGAGAAGCCCCTCATGGGCTGCAGGGCTGGGGAAAAACAGGTGTTGGTTCTCCATCCTCCTCCTGCTCCTCCCTGCTCCCCCTCCACTCCCAGGCTTCCTGTACTCCAGGCTTTCCTTATTCCATGCTTTGCTCTCTGCTGCTTCTGTTCACCATCCCCATCTCCTCACCCTCCCTCCCTCCCTCCCGGCTCAGGTGGATCCTGGTGGGGTGGGAGGGAGCCAGGGGAGCAGATCCGTCCTGCCTTGGGCAGCTGAGTGCTGGCAGGGTCGCTGTGTGGAGCTGCAGGAGTGCCTGGATCCGTGGAAAAGAGCAGGGAGCACTGCTGGCGTGGAGGAAGGCTCCCAGGTACTTCCCTGTCCAGTTGCTGCTCTGTGGTTTCCAGGAGGGATGAGCTCCAGGGGCTCCTGCTGCTCTGCAGAAACACTTCCTGGGATCCCTTCCTGGGATCCCATCAAGGCCAGCCTGTCCTGGGATAGCTTTTCCTCTTGGCAGTGTGCCACAACAGTTCAGGAGCATAATCCTCATGGAAATCAGTGGCTGAGCCTCACCTGGGATGATGGCAGTATCCTGGGAATGCTCTTTCCTTCCTCTGGTGCTGGCATGGACTCAGGAGTGCCCACTCCTCTTGCTGCCTGTGACCCAGCCCGTGTGGCCCCAGGAATCCTGTCCTGCCGTTGTGCACTTCCTTGTGGGAACCACCAGGAAAAGGCTCTTTGGGGCTGAAGGAAACCCCACAAGTTCCTGGCCATCGGTGTTCAGCTCCCAGAATCAGCCTGTGGTGCCCCAGTGGGAATGCAGGAGGTCTCTGCCTGTGCCAGGTGTCCCTTGCATTGTCCTGGCGTGGTGGGTGTCTCCTGAGTGCCAGGATGTCCTGGAGCCTGGCACAGCAGGGTGGGCACTGCTGCTGCTCTGGTGGGTGCTGCTGTCACCAGCTCTTCCCTGTGTCCTTCAGGAATAGATTCCTGACTTACAGCTGGAGGGATTGTGCACGAGCAGAGTAGGAATATTCGGGAGTGGCGTGCTCCTGGCCAGCAGCTCCTTCAGTGCCCCGGATGAGACCAGAGCATGAGCTGGGGCTCAGGGAGGTGGAACCCCGGTGGTGCATCCCCTGCGGGGCCGAGGGTCCCAGAGAACAGCCACCCCAGGAGTGGGGCCAGGGCCCTGTGCCGCAGGCAGAGCAGGATGTCCCGGGAGGTGACACGGTGGGAATGCTGCTCTGGTGTCACCGGGGCGGGCCAGCTGTCCTGGGATCGGGTTCCCAGCGCCTGCTCTGGGGCAGAAAACCCTCCTGGAGCAGAGCCTGCCTGTCCATCTGCTGTCCACCTTCTGCACACGCTGCAGGGCTGCCTTGGTCCCTGCTGGATTGGAACCTGCCAGCCCTGCGGGAGAGGAGCAGCTCTGGAGCCCAGCGAGGAGCGCTCGCCCTCTTCACACATCCTTGAAGTCTCCTCAGTTGGAAAAAATCCATTTTCTCCTGCGTTTGCTGCCCTCTTGCTGTTTGAAAGGGTTTATACCAGCGACCCTCAGCCGGATCTGTGCCTCTGGGATTGTGGCAGCCAGAAGGGACGGGTTGGATCTCCTGGAGAAGAAGATCCTGTGCTGGAGCTGGGATGGTGACTGTGCCGGGAGCAGGTGTCGCTGTGCCCCATCCCCAGCCGGGGCCCGCGGGGTCCCTCGGGGCTCCCCACCTCCTGTTCCTCCTGAGTGCAGAGCGGACACTGCATTCCTGCCAGGATCTGATCCTGCCTGGCCCTGCCTCTGACCAGCACCATCCTTCCCCTGCCAAGGTTCTGCCCCGCAGCCTCGCTCCTTCCCCGGCCCTTGGGCTGCTGCCAGCCCCTGCAGCCCAAGTCTGCTCGGTTCTCCTGGAAAGGGGCATTTCCCAGGGATTTGTGCAGGAAATAAACCTCCAGAGGTGGCTGTTCTACTCTGGTGGCACCTCAGCAAGGGCTCAGCATGTGCAGGTGGGCACTTGTGCCACTTCCCTGGGAGAGGAGTGTCCAGGCAGGAATTCCGGCAGGAATTCCCCTTTGCAGGTGTGGTAAGCCCTGAGTGAGAAACATTTGGGAAGAGCCGGAGATTCCTGAATTCCTTGAAGGAGCTGGAGGCTGCGGTGGCAGTGACATTCCGTCTGCAGGCACTGGCAGCGTCCCGAGGTGTCCCAGCCCGGGCTTGTGGGTGCGTGCACGTTTTGGAGTGGGCTCCAGCACCCCGAGTTCACTCAGCCCCACTGTGTTCCACAGCTGCTGCTCCCAGTGACCCCGTGACACCAGTGACCCCGTGACACCAGTGACCCAGTGACACCAGTGACCCCATGACACCAGTGACCCAGTGACACCGGTGACACCAGTGACACCAGTAACCCCGTGACACCAGTGACCCCATGACACCAGTGACCCAGTGACACCAGTGGCACCAGTGACCCTGTGACACCAGTGACCCAGTGACACCAGTGGCACCAGTGACCCCATGACACTAGTGACCCCGTGACACCAGTGACCCCAGTGACACCAGTGACCACAGTGACCCCAGTGACACTGGTGACACCAGTGACCCCATGACACTAGTGACCCCCTGACCCCATGACCCCAGTGACACCAGTGACCCCATGACCCCAGTGACCACAGTGACACCAGTAACCCCGTGACACCAGTGACCCAGTGACCCCATGACACCAGTGACCCCATGACCCCAGTGACACCAGTGACCCCATGACACCAGTGACCCAGTGACACCAGTGACACCAGTGACCCAGTGACACCAGTGACCCCATGACACCAGTGACCCCATGACCCCAGTGACACCAGTGACCACAGTGACACCAGTGACCCCGTGACACCAGTGACCCCATGACACCAGTGACACCAGTGACACCAGTGACCCAGTGACACCGTGGGCCATGGCGGTGACATTCTGCAGTATCTGCTGGTGGCCCCACAGGTGTGGTGGTGGCAGCGGTGTCCCTGGCAGGATAACCTGGGACTCATTGACGCCGTTGGACTGCTCCGTTCTCCGGCGGCTCACCCGGGATGCGCCGTGGCACTCGGGCATCGGCCGGGCTGGCTCCGTGGGAGGACGAGGACAGTGCCAGCAGTGCCCAGGGCCCTTTGCTGCTGGGGAAGAGGAAGCTGAGGTGTTCTGCACAGCTGGGCTCCCCCGGTAGATCCCGGGCTGAATCCAGGCACCCACAGGATCCCGTTTTCCTCTGCGTTCCCTGGAGCTGCCGAACGAGGGCCTGGCTTTGCTCCGTGGCTTCTGTTAAAGAAAAGCTCTTGTTCCAGCACGAGGAGAATGTTCTGGGCCTGTCCGGGCTGCCCGTGGCAGAACGCCAGCGTGTGCCATCAGCTTGTGGAGAGCAGCAGGAGTGCCTTCCTCAGAGGGCAGGGCCGGGAGCAGCGCTGGAAACATCCACGGGGACACAGAGCCAGGGCAGCCCCGCACCTGGCAGGGACATGGAGCTGTGGGCACACAGCGCAGGGACGGGATGGGGCATCCAGGGGCACCTGGACAGGCTGGAGAGCTGGCACCGTGAGCCTCCTGCAGCTCAGCAGCACCAAGGACAAGGTCCTGCAGCTGGCTCGGGGCAATCCCAGCACCAACAGCCTGGGAGAAGGGGCTGGGAGCAGCCCTGGGGAGCAGGAGCTGGGCATTGGTGGGAGAAGCTTTGGGCTGAGCTCAGGGTGGCCTGGCAGGGCCTGGAGGAGCCCCAGGAAAGCTGCAGAGAGACAATTTCCAGGGATGGAGGGACAGGACACAGGGAATGGCTCCCACTGCCAGAGGGCAGGGCTGGGTGGGAGATTGGGAATTGGGAATTGTTCCCTGGCAGGGTGGGCAGGGGCTGGGATGGAATTCCCAGATTCCCCTGGATCCCTGGCAGTGCCCAAGGCCAGGTTGGGCACTGAGGCTGGAGCAGTCTGGGACAGTGGGAGGTGTCTCTGCCGTGGCAGGGGTGGCACTGGGTGGGCTCCCGGTGCCTTCTCACCCAAACCAGTCTGGGATCCCCAAACATCTCCTCAGTCCTGCCTGGGCATCTCCAGCTCTGTTGGGAAGGTTTTCCCTTGTCTTGCCGGTGTCTGCAGCTGCCTCAGGCTGATGCTGGTGGTGGTACCGTAGGAGATGACCTGGGGGCTCGGGGCAGTGCCAGGCAGGTTTGGTGACCCTTGTGCAGGGGTCTGTGCCAGGAGCAGAGATCAGGGGGGCTCCAGGGCAAGGACAGGTCAGCACCTCCCATCTCTTCTCACCCTCTTCCGCTTCTCTTCCCCGGCTCCTTTCCTCTCCATTTCCTCCCATCCCGCTGCACCCTGCTGTGCGTGGGGCAGGGCCGGTGCCCCTGGCCCCATCCCGCTGCCCGGGCAGCCTCTCCTTGCTGTGGCACCCCTGGGAGGCGCCGGGGGAGGGGGCCAGCAGCCATCCAGCCGGGACAGCGAGCTGTGACTTGTCATTTCCCTCGTAGCCTGCCCTCCGCTCCGCAGGGAGCCCGGCAGCGGTAGGCACAGGCTGGGCACAAACCCGTGCAGCGGCGGGGCTGGGCATGGCTTCGTGCGGGCACGGCCGGCTCCGGGTCCTCCCGCGGGGGCTGGAGCCCGGCAGCGGGCAGGGGCACGGCCGGGCAGGGGCACGGCCGGGGCGGGGCCGGGCAGGGGCACGGCCGGGCTCGGGGCCGCGGGCACACACGGATGTGGCGAGGGCTGAGGGACCCTCTGGGGAACCTGGGGTGAGATGGGAGCGCTCCCGGTCCCCCGGATCCGTGGGGAGGGACGGATCCTATCCTGGAATGAAGGATCCCATCCCGGAATGAGCGATCTCTCTGGGATCCTTGGGCAGGAATGGATCCCATCCCGGAGTGAGGGATCTCCCGGGATCCATGGGCAGGAATGGATCCCTTCCCAGAATGAGGGATCTCCCAGGACCCATGGGGAGGGACCGATCCCATCCCAGAATGAGGGATCTCCCAGTACCCATGGGGAGGGACCGATCCCATCCCAGAATGAGGGATCTCCCAGGACCCATGGGGAGGGATGGATCCCTTCCCAGAATGAGGGATCTCCCAGTACCCATGGGGAGGGACCGATCCCATCCCAGAATGAGGGGTCTCCTGGGATCCATGGGGAGGGACCGATCCCATCCCAGAATGAGGGATCTCCCTGGATCCACGGGGAGGAACCGATCCCATCCCAGAATGAGGGATCTCCCAGGACCCATGGGGAGGGACCGATCCTATCCCAGAATGAGGGGTCTCCCGGGATCCACGGGGAGGGACGAGCCTGTCCCTGTTCCCTGTCCTCGCTCCCTCGAGCTCCCCAGGGTGAGCCCCGGCCCGGGCACCCCTGGCAGAGCGGGGCAGCGCCGGGGGTGGGCAGGGCTCTCTGCCAGCCTCTCCCGGGGGTCTGGGGTCCCCTCGCCCCCCAGCCGCTGCTGCCATCCGTGTGTGCGGCGGGCCGGGCCGGGGCTGACCCGTCTCTCGCTCTCCACCGCAGAGATTTAACTCGCTGCGACTCCGACTCCTCCATCCCGCACCTGAGCGACCACCAGCGCATCCCCAGCTCGGCGTCCAAGCTGCTGGCTGCCCGGCCCACGCTGCTGACCAGGTCCATGGAGGAGGCTGTCCCCGGGCCCCCGGGCCCCGGCGCGCCCACCCCCAACGGCGGCAGCCGGCACGGGGAGCCCCCCGCCCTGGCGGCTTTGCAGGAGCGGCTGCCCGAGAGCCCCATGGTGATGAAGAAGATGATGATGGTGAACCACGGCATGGAGAAGTCCTCCAGCCTGGGGGAGATCAGCCACCCGACGGCCGGCAAGCCCAGCCCCTCGGATTCGTCGCGGTCGCACAGCCCCAGCTCCACCGAGCCCGACACCCCCTCCCCCATCTCTGACTGCCGGCCCGGCGGCGCCCGGAACACCCGCATCCCGCAGCTGGCCGCCAAGAAGAGCCCGGGGGACGAGGACAGCAGCCTGACGGGCGACGAGGTTGACCTCGGCCAGAGCAAGAAAAAGTTCCCCCTAAAGATCTTCAAGAAGCCCAAGAAGTAGGGGGGAGCCCCCGGACGCGTCCCGCCGGGCCCGGGGCCGGCCGTGCACCGGGAGCGCAGCGCGGCCCCGGCAGCCCCCGGGCCCCGAGTCCCCCAGCGCCGGCACGGGAGGAGCTATTTAAACGTTTAAACTTATTTATTTCCTCATCTCCGAGACAAGAAGCGCGACGCCTCCCCGCGGGGAGAGCCGCCCCTGCCCTCCCTCGGAGCGCTGCGGTCCCGGCTTCGCTGTGCATGGCTTCCAGTTACTCCTGCTCTGCTCAGCCACGCGGCCTTTGGGTTTGGTTTCAATGTGGTTTTAGGGGTTTTTTTTTAATTTTGTTTTGTTTTTTATTGTTGTTATTAATTTGTTTTCCTGCCTCCTCCAACTTTTGCACAGGCCGAGGGAGGGTCGGGGCGGTGCCGGCCGCTCCCCCCGGGGTGACTCCAGCGCTTCTCCCTCCTTTCTCCGAGTCCCTTTTGCAGCCCGGGGTGACTCCAGCGCTTCTCCCTCGTTTCTCCGAGTCCCTTTTGCAGCCCGGGGTGACTCCAGCGCTTCTCCCTCCTTTCTCCGAGTCCCTTTTGCAGCCCGGCCCCTCGGCTGCGGCCCCGGGGAGGGGATCCCCTGGCTGGGGATCGCAGCTCTCGTTGCAGGAGCAGGGACACGCTGCCCTGGCCGGTACTCGTGTGCTCCCGGTGGGGACGGCGCTGTCCCCGCGCTGCTCTGCCCGCTGGGCTGGCTGCGGCAGGCCGGGACACACGGCGGGAGGAGCCCACGCCTGTCCCTGCCTTTACTTCCCTGGGCAGCCTCCGCCGTGCCCCCGTGCCCAGCGACAGGGACAGAGAGGGAAGCGCCATCCCGAGCGGTGCTGGAGCAGAGCCCGGTCCGGCTGCCACATCCCACGGACAGGAGGAGAGGAGAGGAGTGGAGGAGAGGAGAGGGCTCCCGGGAGCAGGGCAGTCCCCGTGGCCCCTGGGCAGGGCCAGAGGGAGGGACCAGGCCGAGCGGGGCTCCCCGGGCAGGGGCAGGCTGTGCCCGGCTGGCAGGACCGTGGCAGCGCTCCCCTGGCGCAGGCCGGTGCTGGGGCTCTGTGCCCGCAGGGACGCAGGGGGCTCAGGCAGTGCCCCCGAGGCACACGCCGGGTGTCCCTGGCTGTGCCAGCCGAGCCGGGGCTCTCCCGTCCTCCCTCGGCACTCTGTGGGTCACGTCCTGCTGCTCACAGCCCCGGGGTGTCCTGGCACAGCCCCGGCCGTGGAGGGGTCCCCACTCGGGCCACCTGAGCCCTGCCCCAGCCCCGGGGCTGAGCCGTGCCCCCTCTCCAGCCCCTCCGGGAGCATCCCCCCGCCCCGGGGCTGCAGGGGAGCCCCCAAAGCCCCGCACCCCACTCGAGCCCCCAGCCCAGGTCCCTGTCCTCCCCATCGCACACATCCCGGGGCTGGGGGGGCTGCTGCCGAGGCAGAGGAGGATGCACGCTGGGGGGAGGAGGAAGAGGAGGCCGGACGGGATGCCGAGAGCCCCGGGGCCTTGCTTTATGCCAGAGTAATATATTTGTGTCTTGACGATTCAGGAAGGGCTACAAAGGTGTTTTCTGTTCCGTAGGTGGGAGTTCATTTCACTGTTGCTTTGGGATAACTGAAAAATTCCTCTCAATGACTTTTAAGTGCCTGCATTTCCCTGGGGACGGGGGGACGCGCTCGGCCCCACAACTGGGGCTGCTGCCTGGGCACCCCGATTCTGTGGGCACCCTGATTCTGTGGGCACCCTGATTCGTGGGCACCTCAGTCCTTGGGCACCCCGATTCCGTGGGCACCCTGATTAATGGGCACCCCAATTCGTGGGCACCCCAATTCTGTGGCCACCCCAAACCATGGGCACCCCGATTAATGGGCACCCCAATTTGTGGGCTCCCCAATTTGTGGGCTCCCTAGTTCGTGGGCACCCCAATTTGTGGGGCACCCCTCTGTCACGGGCAGGGCGCCCCAGGAGCGGGGCCGGCGGGGTCGGGGCCGGAGCTGCTTGTGGTGGCAGAGACCTGTGGATGCTTCTGGAGAAGGGGTTGGGGATCCACCAAACTGCAACTGTTGACGCATCTGCCAACTCTTGATTTAAGGTGGATTTTTGTTTTTTTGTTTTTTGTCATTTCATAAAACTTTTCAATCCAATAAAGCATGTAGTCTATTTTACGAGCTGCTGGCTGCTGCTCTCTCCTTGCAGCCCTTCCCAGGCTCCTGGCACAGTGGGGTCGGGGCACTGGTGCCAGCTGGGGATGTGTTCCTGGCCAGGTCACCGGGGACAGGGACACCACGGCTGTCCCTGACCAGGCCCTGCCATCGTCCTCTCCCGTGGCACCTGGGTCACGGCTCCACAGGCACAGCGAATCCAC